GTGTTTTGGAGTTCCAGCAGACAGCTGCTGCATTTGAAGTATCGTGGTATTTCAGTGTTCTCTCAAAATACAGTTAAGATTCTGTTTCATTTACATTATCAGAAGTTTTAGAAGTTTGAATCAAAGCTGAAGCTATCATATTCAGCAGTAGATGTGTATTTTATGAGAGCTCTAATTATAGTTCCATTATTAAAAACTAGGTTACAATATGTTCCTGTGCTATCATTACGTACACCCTGCAGAACCTCATTATTTTATAAATAAGTTTCTTTTGAGGACAAAGAAAATCTGTTACTGAATAAAGCATTAAAATTAATATGTTCCACATGTTTAAATTCACTTTGACTTTCAAGTTACTGCTTGCCATTTAGACAGTAAACCAAGAAGGTATCACTAAAGAAAATAATATGTATTATCTACTGTTAAAACAGGAAAAACACAAAGGTCTCTTGGATTCTATCCTCCAATTTTTCCTATGCTTGTGAATTACAAAGTGTCTTGTCTCACAAACATTAACATCCAACTTTTGGCCTATCTTTCTGAAACAATGACAACTTGCTTATTTAGATGAGTGATATACTGTTGTTTTCAAAGCCGAGACTTTCTATATAGCCCACTTTCTGGTTATTAAGAAAAAGAGTAGAAATTAGGGAGAAACTGCTTTTTTTGAGAAGCTGTTAGAGACCTGCAACTGCATTTTCCCCAATTTTCATCTTAAAGCATTCCACTCAACATGCAAACAGAAGTTTTACAAGAGATGTGGATTCACCCACATCTTGCTGACAGTTCTAGGTGCCCTTTCCTAGGCTTCAGTGGAAGTTCAGATTGGATATTAAGAAAAAAATTCTTCTCTGAAAGAGTGGTCAGATGCTGGAATGTAAAAAAATGGAATGTAAAAGGTACAGGGAGACGATTGAGTCATATTGTTCCTGGAGGTGTTCAAACATTCACATGTTATACTGAAGGACACAGTTTAGTGGAGAAATATGGAGGTAGGACTATATGATCTTGGAAATCTTCACCAGCCACGGTGATCCTATGATTTTTTTGTAGCACTTCAGAGAGTTATTAGGGTCTACACATCACAGCCAGAAAAGTGTCATGATGTTACAGTTGAGATTTCGTTACGAATCTGTCATGTTCCAGACTTGATTCCTTAGCTTAGGCTTAATTGCTGAACTCAGATCTTCTGAGTTTAAAGGTATCTACACATACTCCAACTGCAGTGTCACAGCACACATGGCCAGAAAAAGAACTGCTGCAACCCTCTGGATCTATGACTTGAACAGATGGAATCTTTTTTCCCCTACAATTGGTCAGTATACATGTTGGTTCTTAGGGTATCCTAATTTTTATATAAGAAAAATATTTTCAACAATTTACTGTTATTTACATTTACATTACCAGTCATGTGACTGCAGTTTATAAACATGAATATTTTCAAAGCTTACTGTAAGAAAAAAAGTAGAAGCACTGACAGTCTGTAGATACCGAGTTTCTAGGAAAGGAACACACTTTTTGGAGTAGCATTCCTTTGTATTACAAACTCAACACAAATTAAAATATAGAACATTCACAAAGTTTTTACTTTCACTCCAGAAGTAGGATTGTTTTTCGTTGTTTTTTTGTTTGTTTGTTTTGGGGGACCGGGGGGGGGAGGGGGCCCTGTGGGGAGTAAGGTTTGTGAATTACATTAAAACAATTTAATTCAACTCAAAATATTTTCCAACTGATTAACAACCTGGATTTCACCACTCACGTGTAAGAGAGATGGATTACCAACATAATATGTTCCTGTGTCTGAATTCAGAGCCCTTAGGTCAACTTCAAGACAGCATCTCTGCTACCACAAGGGAGAAGTGAATACAAACCAATTCTACTTTTACAAAGTTAACAATGATGAGAAATCATTAACCAGGAATAGCCTACTAACTGAAATCAATTCCCCAGTTAAAAACAGAGATAGATATGAATAACTGAAAACAGGTCATAAGAAAAAGGGGTTATAAACTGTAGGATTTCTCATGAAGATCCACTTTGTTGCTTTGAAGACTACGTTTCCCAGGACATACTGGTCACTAAAAGAGTGAGAAATACAATGCCTAAACACTGAGTAGCTATTGTCCATGACCCCTTACATCGCAGCAGAACAGAATCGGGGACTTGTCTATTCTTGTCCTGAAAATCCTAGCTAGAAATAAAGTCATGTGGTATGTGACTGCAGTGAGAAGCAAACCATATTTTCTGCCTGTTTACCACGCAGGCAACCAGGAGGTATTGAGCTTACCAGACACAGGTTACTAAACATTTCAGACTAACTGTCCTGAAACTTTTCTGGTGTTCCATACATACTTTTTTTTTTAAATGAGAGTGATCTGTCAAAGATTTAAAGATCAAGAATCACACACAAGAATCACACACGAATCACAAGGTTGGAAACGACCTATAAGATCATCCAGTCCAACCGTCTCCTCGTCACCATTGCCACCACTAGCACTAAACCATATCACGCAGCACGTCATCCAGATGCCTCTTGAACACTGCCAGGGACGGTGACTCCACCACCTCCCTGGGCAGCCATTCCAGTGCCTGACCACCCTCTGAGAGAAGTTCTTCCTTATGTCCAACCTGAACCTCCTCTGATACAACTTGCGGCCATTGCCCCGTGTCCTGCTTATTGCCTGGGAGAAGAGGCTAGATCCCTCTTCACCACAGCCTCCCTTCAGGAGGTTGTACAGTGCAATGAGGTCTCCCCTGAGCCTCCTCTTCTCCAGACTGAACAATCCCAGCTACCTCAGCCGCTCCTCATAAGACTTGTGCTCCAGACCCCTCACCAGTTTTGTTGCCCTTCTCTGGACACGCTCCAGGATCTCAACATCTTTCCTGTAGTGAGGGGCCCAAAACTGAACACAACACTCGAGGTGCGGCCTCACCAGTGCTGAGTACAGGGGGATGTTCACTTCCCTGCTCCTGCTGCCCACACTATTTCTGATGCAGGCCAGTATGCCGTTGGCCCTCATGGCCACCTAAGCACACTGTCGGCTCATGTTCAGCCGAGCATCAACCAACACCCCCAGGTCCTTCTCTTCTTCACACTCATAAAGTGTGAACCTGCTCCCTCCCCAACCCAACCCCCCGTTCTGATTGCTGGAATAAAAAGACTGACTCCAAAATACAGGTGATGCATGAGACAGAGTAAAACTCAAACCGTACTGTTTAGGAGGTTTTCCTTATAGTCCAAATAAAGTATTCCTCCGAGATGTTGATTAACTCGTGTTCAAATACAACTATAAATACTATTTATGGAAGCGGAGTGAGAGGTAGCTAAAATATCATTTACGTACACTCCAATGAAGTAGAATTAGAGAAAATATATCTGGATCATTCAGACTACTGGATCTAACAACATCTGCTCATAGGTCATAATTTCACCATAATCTTGTTCTTTCTGCACTTGGTCTTTTTTCCCCCTCAGTAATTACAGGCTTTAATACTTCATAAAACAAGAGTTTATGAGCCAGCAACACTTTAAGAAAATTGTATTTTCTTCTGGTATAGAAGCAAGAGTTAGCATTCTGTGATCACTTGTGTGATCGTGAGGAAGCCTAACAGGCAATAAATTTCAAGTTAGGTTACATTAGATGACTGCTTCTAGGGCTATTTCTTTGTATGTAGAAGACTGAGATAGTACATTATTCAATCTAAAGTCTCACTCTTGCCAAGTAAAATAAAATAATTACATCTTGCACCCTCTGTCAAGCACTTCCATTATCCCAGACTAATAATTTTTTTTCCCCCCTTTTCAATAGCATTATGTTGGTGACTCATTTTGTTTGTCATTCAACACATTTCTCAGAGCTCTTCTGTACTTTATTATTGCCAGCCCAGTTACTCCCCCTTTTGTATGCATACATTTTACTTCTGTCCTAAATACAATACTTCACACTTGTCTCATAATTCACTGATCAATGTGAGACCATCTCTTCAGGGCTGAATTTCATCCTGTTCCGTTCCTCCAAACTGCCGGACATCTCTGCTATAAACTTGCTGAACACAAATGTGTGCTGTCTAAATCACTTAAGTCACTGTTAGGAAATACTCCAAACCACAGAAAAATTATGTGGGACTCCTCATTTCACTGCACCACTTCTGGGCATGTTATTCAAAATCATAGTGGTTATATTCACATTATCTTTATTCTCATTTTTAATGAGAAGAATCAGGTGAGACCTAATAAAAAGCTAGACTAAACACAAAATATACCACAGCTACTAATTCATTATTCCCTATTGCCAATTATTACCTAGCAGATAAAATTACAGATTATGAGGTTGACTTATTTTATTACTGGAAAAAACAATTCAGTAATTATCTGCCAGAACTTTCAAAAAGATTTAATCAAATTAATAGCTTCAACTCAGTTTTTACTGGGTATTAAAGGTAAAACTATTGTATACTGCCAAAGGAAGAGGGAACTTCTTCAGTGAGTCTTCCTTCTCAACCCTCCTACCCCACTCCCCCAAACTTTAATGTTCTCTACGAGTTCACAAAATGTAACTTTTAATATAACAGACTTCGACCATTTGCTGACTTGATTACAACTCTTATCTTTGACCTTGCTCCTTTCCAACTCATCCGGCTTTGTTAAATTTGTTTGCAACTACAGACCAGAAGAGACAGGCCCAGCAGAAGAAACTCCTCAGTACATTAGGAATATAACAACAGAATCCAACGAAAAAGTATCTGTCTAATAGCTAGTTTGAGATTTGAGAACAGGCAAAATAAATCTATGCAGAAAGTTACTTGAGAAGAGGATATCTTCTTGCATTTCAATTCTTATAGAAATAACAGGGAATAAAACTTGAATATTTTTTTAAATAGTCAGCTGTACTCAGCAATACCTGAAACATATCATTACCTTGAAAAAATAAGCCTCAGTGGAGGAATTTACAAATATACAAAGCATATTTTGATTTCTAAATAATGATTTAAAAAATTACCTTAGCAAACTGTGCATTTATCCATTTTGTGAATGTTTTCTTTTGAACATCTTCCCGTTCATCTGTCAGAGGAAAGTAAAGCACATATTAGAACGATTCAACAAAACATGACAATATTACTGATTAAAGCTTTAATCTTGGTTTGTAATAAAGCTACTAAAAATAATTTAAACTCATTCAGGGTGCCTGTCTAGATGCATTCTGTCCCTTATATTTTTAAAAGCTTACAGGTGCCTTTATAGTCGTTGGTTCTGAGGCCTACATCCCTGGCTCATCTCATCCGATCAGAAGCATGTTTTCTCTCTGAGAGATAATGTGCTGCAGTTAGGACCTGAACTGTTGCTTTTAAACCAAAAGAGGGGAGATTTGGGTTACAGGTTAGAAGGAAATTCTTTCCCCAGAGGGTGGTGAGGCTCTGGGACAGCTGCCCACAGAAGCTGTGGCTCCATCCCTGGCCAGGCTGGATGTGCCATGGGCAAGCTGAGCTGATGGAAGAAGGAGTTGGAGCTGGGTGGACCTTAAGGTCCCTTCAACTTAAGCCATTTGAACAGGATACCTAGAATTGTAATAGAACACACACAGTGATTGCAGCAACAGGAAACTGTTCTACTGCACTTAGTGAAAAGTACTTAAAATAGCAAGTTTCTGTTCATATCTTCAGATTTCTCTGTGAAGTGGAGCCTCCTGGATCAGGATGACATGTCTCTAGTGGCAGCCCCTACCATCTCTTCACTTTTTTTTTTTTGAATAGGTTACTTCCCCATTATGATTTGTTAAATATTTTCTTTCAAGTGGAAATAAAAAAAAAAAAACAATAAACAAGGACACATTTGTTCAGCCATGCAAGTATCAGACCTAGATTCTATTGGTATCTAAATCATGAGTACAGATACAGAATGGAACTGGACAGACAGATACAATTCAGATGTATTTTACGTAGAGAAATAAAGATGCTTTAACCATAGAGCCTTGTAAGCAGTTGCTCAGAAACATTAGACAACATTTGTGGAATAAAACAAAAAGATAGACCTCTTTGGATGACGATGTCAAAACAAACTAAAAGGGCATAATTTTAAGAAGGCAGCAGAATGCTTATACTAAAACAAAGCTCACTCAGAGCTATCTGTCTTCTGCTTTACAGTAAAATTCTGTACACTTCTTAAATAAAAAGGGATATTCAACTCCCATATGAGATGTTCAGCAATTAATAACATTAATGGATTCAGATGGATTTGAAAGACTGGTATGGATGAGCCACATGAGAAATGTGCAGCATTAATAATGCACTTTGCTTTCCCTCCCCCTGCTCCTCCAAGGAGACAAGTCAAGACAAATACATCTTTTCTTAAAAAGTCACCTCAATAGCAGACATTAAAAGTGTCTTTTTCAAGACTGTTTTCCTTTTGCAATAATTCAATATAATTGTGAGAAAAATAATACCACAGCTGGTATTTCGTAATCAAAGTCTTCATACTGGATAGAGCAGATTGCTATCAGAGGTTCAGGAGTAAAAAGATTTACAATGCTATGATATTACTAGAAACATTCATAATAGCTGGGCAATATATGTGTTCTGCAACTAATGTTAGTGAGTGTTGGCTACAATGAGCTTTCTAGAGTGTTATTGCTATCTATCCCTAATAATGCTTCTTGCTTCACCAGGAAGCATCAAGACATGAAGGAGATCCAATGCTTTTGGTAATTAATGATGCTAAAGCTGTTAAAATTATGCTTTTTTACTTGCAGGCATCTCTTCTCTATTTTCAAGTAAAATGTTTATAATACAGATTTTGACTTCTTTCAACCACATACTAGAACCCATTAGCAGAAGATGGGATAAAGAAGATACATTTTACTGGTGAAACATACACATTGAATCTGATGCTGTATACAAACTTCTTGAACAACTTCATATAAACTATTTCACATGAATAGCTATTTCTGCTTAATAATCTCTAATAAAAAAAAAAAAAAAAAAAAAAAGAGACCATAAAAGGAGGTAAAAGAGTATGTGGAATTGACAGATAAAAGGAGAGGCAGAAATGCCTACATGCCTTCTAGTGACCAACTTATTTATTTTCCATCCCAGGCTACTATAGCATATTCAGTAACAGTGTGATTTTTGTTTGTTTGTTTGTTTTTATTATTATTATTATTATTGTTGTTGTTGTTTTTTAAATCACTTTCCCAAAAGGATCTATGCCAGAGAATGGACTCCTAATCACCAATTAATTCATGTTCATTGTGCTAATAAAAAAGGATCTCCTGAGGAAAGAGAGAGCTACACACAAAATTAGAATATTTGAAACTTTGAAAAGTTTCAGGCAATTCTCTGCTACCTTCGCAAACACAAATCTCTTCCATTGCAGTTCTTACATGGAAGTAATTTCAAGCACTTGTGCAAGCACCTCTAGATGCTTGCACTGACAAGTTTATGTAACATACTAATCTGATAGTGACAGCCTCCTAATCTAAAACAGAGCTCATCTTAGTGTCCTGCATGATTTCCCTACAATAAGCAAGATTCTGTTTCCTCAAAAAACAGAAAATAAAATCCAGAACCAGAAAAACCCACAACGGTCTCCTAGCACAGATTTACAGACATAATACTAGTGGAAGCTAAATGACATTTGTCTGGGTGCTGTACAGTGCCAAGAACACTCAGCTGCTGCTTTCGTATCATATTGCTGTGCCTGTAACAGATCCTTCAGCACCCCACCTACACCCTTGTGTTTTTACTTTGAGGCAATAGGAATAATCAAGAGGCCAGGAAGGTAATTCTTTCAACTGCCCAAAGATATATTATGTTTACTTCTTTTATTTCAAGGGGGAACAATTACAGGTAAATCTAAACGTGAAACATGGTGCGGATCGCACATACTCTTACTGAAGTAACACTGCTATCATTTACCACAGTAAATATGTTTTCCCCAAAATGCTGGGCCTTGACTGGAAGGCAAACAGACCCTTTTTTTCCCTGTATCTTATCATCCAAGATAACAAACACACTGAGATCTATAGAAGGCCCCCTTTAATGTCAGAATAAAAGATACTGACCTATGAGAATTATGTGTTTTATTTGTGCTATAGCATCTTTTACCTCTGCATAGAAATTGTTTTAACTAGAATACATTCATAAAGGGATCTTACAGTTCTGACGCATTTCTGGTAGTATGAGCATCCAGCTTTGTAACTGCGACTATAAGCCTCTTGAATTAGCTAACTCCACATTTGACTTTAAAAGTATTATTCCAGGCTAGAGTTCATAGAAAATTATGACTAGGAATGAAAGCGCGGTATTAATGGAGCTAATCATCTCACAAAGGCCATTTCTAAGATTTAATCAGGTGACAAGGCTAATACGAATAAGTGGTACACCAAAGAATGCTTAGCAACGCACAATCAGGATTCAACAGAACAAAATGCTATTACTAATGGCCAGCAGATACCAGACAAATTTCTCAGTTACATAATAAACTATTTCATGTTTGCAACCCACTGTCCAAATGAAATTCCTTTTTATTTTCCATCAAAAAACAAGCATTATGTTGCCATTCCTTGATCCTTACAAAATGACCTCACCTCAAATACCGTCTAACACATTAAGTAAAAAACAGCAACAGGAAAAAAGTAATAATCTGATATACTACAAAGACTATCCAGAAAGCAAACAGCAGTATTAATACAAAACCCACAGTTTTTAATAATGTGGGCTGACAACCAGTGAGAGGATTTTATATGGACTAAATTGACAACATACAGACAGTATGTGTGTATATATATATATATATATATATGTGTGTGTGTGTGTGTGTGTGGGCGTGTGTATCATAAAAATGGAATGATGTACATGAGCCATTTTCCCCATGAAAAGCCTGGAGCATAGGTTAAGAATCTTCCACTATTTGGCACATCCATTCCTACATGGTTGGAGAATCTTCAGTCCCTCTTACTCTTCAAGCAATGAATAAATAGCACTTTTAACAGTGCGGTTGAGGCTGCAAGGCACCTCTGGGGGTCGTCTGGTCTAACCTCCTTATCAGGCAGGGCCACTTGGAGCAGGCTACCCAGGGCAAGTTGAATCAGTTTTTGATCATCTCCAAGGATGGAGTCTCCACAGCCTCTCCTACTACATACTACAACACCAAAGCCTTGCCTTTCCTATCATCAGCCTTCTGCCTTTCACAGACACAGACAGGGGGTGGTTCTGATGCAAGTGGCTTAGAAATCACTCTCGAAAGTAAGCACAACCCATTTGTAGAATCCATTTTTCAAAGTTAGAAGACTTTGAAGAAAAGTGAGCTTGCACCTCAGGAATATGGGAAATGAGCTGTATCTTCACATTAAATTTTTTCATTTGAAATGAGCAAATAATCATTTTCTTTAATATAATGATAAAGAGAATACGTAAAATGAATGGAATATTCAAATAACTGTAGAGACAATTAAAGGAATCTAGCTTTTGTCACAAAAGACTTCATGCTGTCTTCAGCAAGTAGCTCCACCACAGTTTGGAAAACAAGAAGAGAAAAAGACAACATCTTACTCTCTTAATCATTGTTGCTTCTAGCTGTGTTAAACAATAATTAAGTAATTATGTTTGACCACCAGGAACAATCAAATAAGAAAAAAGATAAAGGGAAAAGGATTTTTCCCATATATGAGCTGAAAACTGTTAAGCAATGGTATTAAGGCAGGTGACAGTTCCTTCATTGGTCAACTGCATGTTTGTCTGAACACCACGCTTTAGCAAGTAAAACCACCAAAATTAGTATTTTATTTTCTAGCAGTCAAACAATGCAGATTTAGAGAAGACCAGGATTTGCTTCAGTGAGTGGAAGTGAATACCAGCAACAACAGAGCACTGGGAACAAAAAAGGCCATAGACAGTCACATCATTGATACTCTGCCTCTATCAATTCACTATTCTTAGTGATTTCCAGCACATTGTTACAATACTCTACCAGTTACTACAACTGCTGAGAAATGTTCCTTTACCATTCTTGCTTATCTGAGGAGGAAAGAAGAAATCAATGCAATACAATGACTGAATGCTATTTGA